CCATGTGACGGGGACCCCCAGCCGGTCCCGGTCTGCAGGGCTCTTCCTGCAGAGAAGTGGGGGTAAGTGTGGCCCCCCCAGGGCATGGCTCTGCCCCAGGCTGCCGGCTGAGTGCTGGGCTCTGCTTACAGGTACCTGCTTTTCATCATGCTGCTGGTGACCGCGGTGGTGGTGACCTGTGTGGTGGTGCTGAACATCCACTTCCGGACGCCCAGCACCCACATCATGTCTGCCTGGACCAAGGAGGTGAGCAGGAGAGGGGTAAAGGGGGCTCTGGCAGGATGCAGGCCGTGGGTCCCCCATTGTCCCCTCATGCCTTGTCCAAGACTGTTGGACCTTCAGGCCAGGCATGGTCCATCTCCCTCAGCTCATGCTGAGAACCAGCTGAGACTGGAGTTGCAGGACCGGTCTGCATGGCTCTGACCCTCCATATGGCACGGCCTGGGGTGGCTGAGCCTTGACGGGGGGTGGTGACTTTGGATAAATGCTGCAGGGCTGGGTGGGGGCCAGGGCTGGTGAGATCCCCTGGCCCCCTTGGCATGCGGCAGGGCAGGCCCCCTTTAGCTGGGCCAGCCCCAGCCGGGGGCAACACCTCTAGCCCAGTGACACTACAGGCCCAGGCACTGAGCTCTGGCATCCAGCATCACCCCCCAAGTCATAGGTGACAAGAAAGAACGTGGGGGGGAGTCCAGCCCTTTCCCCCAGCCCCAGCCTCCTGCCCCCCAGGTCTTCCTGGAGACCCTGCCCCGCCTGCTGCACATGTCCCGGCCAGCCGAGAGCGAGCCTGACCCGCGCCAGGGGCTGCTGATCCGCCGCAGCAGCTCCGTGGGCTACATCGTCAAGGCGGAGGAATACTTCAGCGTCAAGGCACGCAGCGAGCTCATGTTTGAGAAGCAGTCAGAGCGGCACGGGCTGGCCAGCCGTGCCACCCCCGCACGTGAGTGCCCGTGCCCCTGCCAGGGACCGGGGGGCAGGGGAGCAGCTGCATGGCACCCCTGGGAGATGCAAGGCAAGGCTGTGCAGGGACCATGCAGCAGGCAGGAGCCCCTGTCCCACATGGCCCTGGCCCCTGTCCAAGCAGCCCCATAGGACTGGGACCCTGCCCACGAAGCTGTCATGCCCGCTTCTCCCACGAAGCTGTCATGCCTGCTCTCAGCTCACAGCTCTCCTCCTCTCCACACCCCGCACAGCAGGACCGACCCCCTTGAGCATGGGTGACACACAGGAGCAGCTGTATGGCGAGGTGCAGCCGGCGATCGATGGGGCCAACTTCATCGTTGAGTACACGAGGGAGAAGAACGCCTATAACGAGGTAGGTGGTGGGGCAGGGGGCAGCATCCCAGCCCACCAGGTGCCCAGAACAAGGCTTAGACTCCATCCCTGCCCCACACCCACAGCCCGCTTCCAGTCTGACCCGGGTGGCATGAGGGGTGGGCATGAGGGGGCTGGAGCCCCTAGAGACGCCCCCTCCCTGCCCCTGTCCCCCCAGCTGGCTCTGACTGGCACCGTGTTGGCAACTGCAGCAGAGACACGAAGGCAGGAGCAGGGCCAGAGCTGCCCTCTGCCCCCATCAGAGCGGGCAGCCATGAGGACTGCCCCGCAGGGGACTGGTAGCTTCACAATCCAGCTTGCCATGGGGAGCAGGTGCTGTGAGGAGCCCAGGCTGCCCCTGCTATAGGGGGAAGGGGTGCAGGGTGGCAGTCTCCAGGACTCTTGGCTGTGCCGCCGTGCCCAGCCCCCTCCACCCTCTCTTCCTCTTCACTCTGCCTATTCCTCACCCACCCTCACCCCTTCGCCCTCCCTGGCTCTGGTCTGCCACCCCTGGGGTCCCCCATCCCAATGGGCCCCTCCCATGCTACAGGAGAAGGACAACTGGAACCGTGTGGCCCGGACGGTTGACCGGCTCTGCCTGTTTGTGGTGACCCCGGTGATGGTCCTGGGGACCCTGTGGATCTTCCTGATGGGCATCTACAACCACCCGCCACCGCTGCCCTTCGCCGGGGACCCCTTCGACTACCGCACGGAGAACCGCCGCTACATCTAGGGGCTGCTGAGACACTGCCACCCAGCCCAGGGCAGCAGGGCCCTGCCCACCCTCTCTTTCTGAGTTATTTCTGCTTTTCTTACCTTGTCCCGGATGATAAAATAAAGCCCTGGGCCTGGGCTGGCTGGTCTGTGGGGTTGTGTCGAGCACCAAATCTTGGCAGCACAGAAAGGAGGCGATGTCTCTGCCCCACAGCTGCCAACCTCCAGGCTCTGTCCCGCTGTGTCCTGCTGCTCTGCCCTCCCCCTGGCCAGGGCTGGAGCAGAGATGCAGAGTGGGGATGGTGAGGGACAGGAGGGTGAGGCCCCCATACCTGTAGGTAGTGCCCAAGGCTCAAACCCTACTCGGCCCATGTTGTCATGCCGCTGTCTCTGACCATCCGCGCAGCAGCCGTTGCCCCCTTAGACATCAGCATCTTGGGAGCTTCTGGCACAAACCAGCTGCTGGAAACATGAGAGGTGGCACCAGACAAGCAGCTGCTCTCCCCAGCCACCAGTGAGCCATGCTGTGGCTCTGGCAGGGGACCCTGGGGCAGGGCTAGCCCTGGTCCTCACCTGACTGGGGGTTCAGTGCACTAAGCCATGGGTCCCAGCCTTCCCCTGGGGACGTGGCTCTGCTCTATCCATGTCCCGCTCTGGAAGGTTTCTCCTGGCATCCACTATAACTTCCCTTTGAGTAGTCAGTCACAAGCTGCCCTGTGCCCTGTACCCCCCGGGACCCTGCAGACAGGTCTCAAGCCCCCTCCTGGCCCCTGCACATAAGCGCCCCCCAGCTGACACCCGCACACTGCACCCTTCCAGCCCTTCTTTGCAAACCAGCTCCTGCTGTGTGGGCACATGTGTTCCCTTCCCTAAGCAGGATAGAAAGCGGCAGCATAACTACGGTCGCCCTCATCCAGGCAGGGGGGCTCTGGAGGCACATGCACATGCAAGGCACTGTGACTGCATGCACACAGATGCACCTGCCCACAGCAGGGACCCATCTCTGGTACCCGAGGACAAGCTGCCGAAGCCTGAGCTAAAGGAGCAGCCCAGGGGGCTCTGCGGACCAGCTAGGAGGAGACAGGGGCTGTTCCCAGCATTTACTGCTGCCCCTTGCTGGGTCCAATGCACCGAGGGAGGCACATGTGCTCTCTAACGTGGGGTCAGGGGGCACAGACAGACCCACAGTACCTGAGCCAGGCACCCGCTGTGCAGCAGGGCTGGTGGTCCCTATCCTGTCCCCAGGGGCACCCCACCCTGTCCTGCTCCTTGGGACTGCTCCCAGGGCAAGCCACCAAGTGCCCCATGCCCTGCTCCTTGGGGAGCATGGAGATGGACCTGCCCTGCCCCCAGTGACCGGGTGCGGGGGAGGCAGGATCCCATTGGAAACCACACTCCAGGACCCCAACCCCCTTGGAGGGCTCCAGGATCCGTTCAGAGCTGGGGGTGAGAAGTCAGTGCCAGCTGCCACCTGGTCACTGGAGAGGGGCTGAGACCTGCATGTTCAGTCCGTGCCAGACCCATGTGGCAGCGCTGGGGCAGGGAGGAGGGTGCCCAGAGCCTATGACCCAGGCAGCTCCTTTGCTGAGCCCGGGCTCCAAGCCCTCCCTGCCCAAGCCACCTCACTCCTGCCGCCTTCCAGGACAGACCCCTGCGCCCCACAGTGCCGGACACTGCCTGGGCCCCACTGCCTCATGGACCCCTGCCCTGCCAGCCAAAGCCCGCCTGGGCCCCAGGCTGCATCGCGAAGGCCCCAGAGCCCTGCTGTCAACCCAGCCCAGCCCAGCCCAGCCCAGCCCCAGGGGCCCCACCAAGGAAGGCCACAGGGAGAGGCTGGGCCAGGGGATATTCTTAAGGGGGGGCTGTGGCCAGCAGCGGAGCAAGGCCAGACGGGAAGCACAGGGTCCCATTTCACGGACAGCTGATGCTGCTCGAGCCGCAGCACACCTGGTTTGCAAACCGCAGGCAGACAGCCGAGATGGCCACACTTCCCTCAGCCCCACGGCACAGCCAGGGATGAAGGGGGTCCTGCCCCCCCACCTCAGGCTCAGGGGGCTCCTTCCAGCAGGGACCAGCTCTGCTCCCAGCCCCACCTGGGCACACAGCCACAGCTGCCACCTCCACCCCAGGTGTGCGCATGCAGGGGTTAACCCCATAGCTGCTGAAAGCGCCGCCTGGCATCCCGGCAGATCAGAAATGGGCCTGTACGTGTGGGGTGGGCTGGGCTGGGCAGCCCCCCCGAAGCCATATGGCCCTCTCAGATGCAGCCATAGGGCTGAGCCCTGCCCTGCCTCCACCCAGATTTGCCGGGGGGGGGAGCAGGATCTCCAGTTTGGTTCTCAGGGGTGGGGAGCCCACAGGTCTGAGGCAGCACAGACACACACACACAAAAGTCACCCCTAAAAGTGCCCCTCCAATAGCCAGGCCCAGGAAGCTGCTGCTCCCCATGAACAACCGAGGGCCCTGCTGGCATCCTCCGGGCTCTCCCAGCAGCCCTGCCGGCCCCTTGGCTCTGCCAGTCTTTGCTGACCAGTGACTCTGGGCATCACAGCCAGGACCCAGGGGCCTGGGAGCCCTCCAGGCACAGCACAGGGTGGGGAGGCCCTGGCACAAGAGCCCACGTCCAGGGGGAGGGCAGGCATTGCCGTGCCCAGTATGCTGGGATGATGGGGGCGCAGCAGGATCAGACAGGGGCAGCCTGTCTCTTGTCCCTGCTGTGGGCACTTTGCCAGCCCCTCTCGGGTGCTGTGGCAGGACATGTCTGGAAGGGACATCTCCCCTGCCCCAGCTGGGCCTGTCCCTGTCCCTGTCCCATGACCCCACTCCCCACTGTCATTTGAGAGCAGCTTTAGCCCCCGGGAGGAGAACAGCTGACAATGCCGTGGCTGGACAGCTGGGCATTGTGCCGGGGAGGAGGGGCACAAGCCACCCACCCCAGCCCGAAATAAACCTCCTGAGCGCACACTGGCCACTGTCTCGGGACAGAGGCTGCTGTCACCATGCGCTGCATGGCTCTGCTCATGGCCCTGGGCTCCCTCGCAGGTAGGCATTGCCCAGCTGGCAGGGGCAGAGCGGGGCTGGGGGCAAGGGGCAGCCCTGGCTGGGCTATGCTGGGTGGCATGAGCTAGGGAATCAGACAGGGCAGGGCAGGCACCCCTTGGCTCTGACACAGGGCCAGCTCCTTTGCCCCCCATTCCTTCTTTGGGCTCCATGGCCCTTCTGGCTGGAGGCACAATGCCCTCCCTAGAACCTGCCCCCTCTCCAGCCCCAGGGGTGCAGCAGAGCCCACCCTGGGCTCATCATCCCCCGCTTGTTCCCATGGACAAGTACAGCCGCTAGCACGGCTGACCGGGCTGAAGCTAAAGGCACAGCCCAGTGAGCACCTCTGCGGGCTGGCTCTGGGCCTGACGTGCAGGGGTGGCCATGGGTTTAACCCTACCGGAGAGGGGATTTTGCTGGTAATAGCTCCCTCTCCACGCATAGCACACCGCACCAGCCTAGCCAGTGAGCTGGGACCACTCTCCTCCTTCTGCTTGCAGTGTGCAAGAGCCCGAGACCGCGGCACAATCATTGCCAGGCACTGTTGTAATCAGGGGCCAGCTGCTGAGCCTGTCTGTTAGCAGGGGCTCTGAGCAGGGAGCACACACAGAGAGTGAGCTCACACATGCATGCACATACATACATGTATGCATATGCATATATATACACAAATGCTGAGCTCTCACACACCTGCGCACATACACCCTGTGAGCTCTCACACATGCATACATACATACACATGCACCCCTCATGAGCTCACTTACACACACACTGCCCCCCGTGAGTTAGCATACACCCCCCCATGATCTCACACACACACACACACCCATGCACACACCCTGTGAGATCACACGCACACACCGTGATTTCACACTCAGACATGCACACACCTGCCATGACCTCACACATCTATGTATACATACACGCCCACACGCACACTTTCCCCCATGCATGCATATGCAGGTACATGCACATATACACAAGTTGAGCTCATACGCACGCACTGTGTGCTTGCTCTGTCTCTCACTCACACACATACACACACACTCACACTCACACAAGGGCACAGGCTGAGCTCAGCCAGCCTCCTGCTGTCTGGTCTAACACACTTCACACTTTCCAGTGAGCAGCAACAGTTTTGCTAATTAAAGCAATGTGGGCACGTGGGGCCTCTCCTGCAGCTTGTGCAGCCTGTGAGGTGCCATGTGGAGCCCACAAGGTCCCGTGTGGACCCTGTTGGGCAGCTGCTGCATGTTGATTATTTAAAATGAGAGGAAATAAAATCGTCCATGAGGTGACAACTGGTGCAGGCAGGGGGGTGCAGTTCTGGGCGGGAGGTGCCAGGCTGGCTCTTGGGCCCCCACTAGGCTGTTTGGCAGGAGCTAAGTAAAAGGCTGTCCCAGGGGAGGGAGCAGGTGGCCCAGCCTGGGGCTGCAGGGGAGTGCTGGGGGATGGCTAATGGCTCCCATCCCTCTACCCTGTCCATCACCAGCCACGAGGGTCGTCCCCTGCTGCAACGCACCAAAACACAGGCTTCCCAAAAGAAGGTGCCCCCTGAGCCAGCAGCAGGAGTAGGTTTTTATCTTTGGGCCCAGGCAACCCCAGCCTGCACTTGAGAACCTTTTGTTGCTGGTTCAAGTCCTGCTTGAGGGCTGAAATCAGCTCCCAATCTAATGGTGCCCCTGTGTGAGAGCGTGCAGGGTCTCAGCCTATTTGGGGTGGGGAGGCAGAGCCTGCCGCACAAAGCTCAGTGCGACCTGGCTGTTAACCTGCCTTAGGAGTCTGTGGCATGGGCAAGGCTGGGTGGGGCCTAGCGGCTGAGCCCCTGCAGAAGGGGCCAGGTGTGACGGGTGCTGGGGCCATTGTGGTCCTGGCTGCACCCGCTCTGGGCATACCCAGGCCCCTGGCTGGGGCCGGGAGGTGGCACCGTCCAGGTGGCAGAGTGCGGGTAGGTGCCATAGCGGGCTGCCCAACCCTCTCCAGCAGACACAAGGATGAGCCACCCCACTCAGGCCCATGCCACCCCCTTCTCAGGTGTCCTGGGCAGAAACCAGGAGGAACAGCTGCTCAATGACCTGATGGCCAACTACAACCGGAACCTGCGCCCGGCCCGGCGGGAGGAGGACATCATCGACGTCAGCCTCAAGCTCACGCTCACCAACCTCATCTCCCTGGTATGCGGAGCCGCCCCCGTCCCTTCCCACCGCACCGGGGTGTCCACGGCGGCACCAGGCAGGAGCGGGTTCAGAAGCCATGGGCTTGGGCCTGGCCTCTCTCCTGGCTTTGCCCCTTCTGGCTGGAGGATACCCCTTGGCAGCACCGCCTAGGAGCAGAGATCCCAGAGGCCATGGACACTGATGCCAGCCGCAAGCCAAGGCAGGGCACCTGCAAAGGCACCGGGTCCTGAGCAGGGACAGCCAGCGCCTGCCCCTTCCACTGCCTCTGCCCTGGGACGAGGCTCCCTGCCAGGCCAGCAGCCTGTGGCTCGAACTATGGGATGCTCTGTCTCAGCTGCCTGTGGTGACAATACCTGGCAAACCTGGCAGCTCCCATACTGGGCAGGCTGGGAGCAGGGCAGGGGCCAGTACCCTGGACAGGTCGGGGGCAGGTGCAAGGGAAGCAGTTGCCCAGGTTGCCATTTCAGGCACTGGCCTGGCTAGCCCTGCAGACTGGTGGGGGCTGCGACCCTGGGATGCCATCCTGCTCCGGGCCAGGGTCTCTGTCCTAGATGGACCCGCAGTGTGGAGGGCCCAGGGATTGCGGGGGAACAGGGATCTGTGCTGGACCCCCACGAGGAGGGGCGGCATTGCCCTAGGCACCTGTGCAGGCAGGGCCATAGTTGGGGGGAGTGGGGCAGGGAGGCAAGGCGACTGCAATCCCACCGTCTTCCTTTGGCTTTTCCCCGGGTTCCAGAAGGAGCGGGAGGAGATGCTCACCACCAACATCTGGATCGAGATGGTAAGGCCCCCGGCACCCGAGTCAGGCCTGCCAGGCTACAGGCACGGCCACCAGCTGGGCACGGGCCACCAGGGCACTGACCCCCCCAGCTTCACCCTGGCCTGGAGGCAGAGGCCCGCACAGCCTGGAGCTGGTGCCCCTTGGGCTCTCGGACCACCAGGCACAGCCCAGCCCAGCACAGAGGGCAGCTCAGGCTACTGGGCCCATCCCTGCCTGCCCTCTTCCCTAGCACGCATCCTAGAGCAGTCCTGGTCCAGCCCAGCTACCAGGCAGGGCACACATCGGTGCCTGGGGGTCTTCCCCCCAAGGCAAGGCACCGGGTACCAGAGGGTGGACACTAGCTGACTCTCCCTGGCCCTCCCCCACTCTGCCCGCCTGCTTCCAGCAATGGTGCGATTACCGGCTGCAGTGGGACAAGGAGAAATACAACATCAGCCTCCTGCGGGTGCCCTCCACCATGGTGTGGCTGCCAGACATCGGCCTGGAGAACAAGTGGGTGTCCACAGGGCTCAGGCTGGCAGCAATGCCAGGCAGCACAGAGGGGCGGGGGTGATGTGGGGCAGGGCGGGTAGCTCAGTCCCATCTCCAATGAGTTGCAAGTAATGGGAGGCAGCAGAATCCCTCCCAGGAGTGGGGCCAGTTCACTCTGGCAGGGAGCAAGGGTGCGGGATACCCACCCCCATCCCATCACAGCTGGGGGTGCCCAGGGCTGGGGGGACCTAGCCAGTGGCCAGATGTGAGCACACCTGGGGGGGCACTGGTCCCCTGAGGGCTGCTGTGAGGTCCTGGGGCAGCGCGGGGGGAGCTGCAGCCAGGGAGGGACAGTCCGGTCTGACCCCAGTCCTGCCCTGCAGCATCGACGGGACGTTCGAGATCACACTCTACACCAACGTGCTGCTAGAGCCCGACGGCAGGATCCAGTGGCTGGCCACCGCCATCTACCACAGCTCCTGCTCCATCTTCGTCACCTACTTCCCCTTCGACTGGCAGAACTGCTCCCTGGTGTTTCAGTGAGTGCAGGGGGTGGGGGAAGGGTAGGGGGGGCAACGCTGCGCCTCGGACCCGGAGGGACAGGGGCAAGGTGCGCCTGGATTTACGCCCCCTCGAGATGTGGCTGTTCGACCTGCCCTCCCCACCTCCCTGTTCGGCCGTCAGTGGCAGACACCTGGCACGAGCCCTGGAGGCCTCTGAGCCGGGATCAGACGTGACCAAGCCCAAGAAGTTGCAGGGACTTGTCTACATCAGGGAGATGCTGCCATCACAGATGCTGGGGCCGCAGAGCCCCTGGTGGAGACATGGGGCAGTCTGAACACATCCAGCCCCGAGGGTTGCTGGCATGGCAACATTGGTTAAGGGGCACGACTCCCCACCCCCGAGCTGGCATTGCTCTGCCGGCAGGATGCTACAGCATTAGCGCAGCGGGGTCCAGCAGGCACAGGTACCCCCGCTGCTCAGCTCCCCGTCTCAGACCTCCCAGCCCCAAAGTCAATCAGAGCGAGACTGGGGGTGTGGGCTGCCAAGGCAGGTGGGGCGAGGGGAGGCACCTATGCAGCAGGATGGGCCCGGAGAGGCTTTGCCGTTTGCCTGCTCTTCCCAACAGGCCCTCGTTCTCAGATCGGGGGCAGACCCGGGTGGTACATCCCAGGGCCAGTGACAAAGGACCCCCCCCTTTCCCACAGCCTGCCGGCACCCCACCCAAAGCTGGTGGGAGGGAGATCCCATCAAGAGCCAGCACAGTCAACTCCCTCTGCTTGACAGCGCACCCCAGAGCTGGGCCAGGCACGGGGAGGCAGCCCCCATGGGGGGCCCTGCCCTCCCCCAAGTCCATGATGGAGATGAAGCTGCTCAGGTGCTGCTGCCTGGGGCCTGGCAGACCTGCAGCACAGCTCTGGCCCTGCCCGCCGGCGCTGCTAATGCCCTGCCCACTCCTTACACCCCACACAGGTCCCAAACCTACAGTGCCAAGGAGATCAACCTGCTGCTGACGGTTGAAGGTGGGAAGACCCTTGAGTGGATCACGATTGATACCAAAGCCTTCACAGGTGCCACCTCACTCTCAGACTCCCGGCAAGACCCAGCCTGGCCCAAGCCTCCATCTGACACCCATGCAGCCCGGCCAGCCAAACCCGCTGGGGCAGGCCAAGTCGGTTTTAAGCCAAGTGGCTTAAAACTGAGGCAGGACTGGCTCAGATGGGGACCGGCAGGGCCCCGAAACCCTTTGCCTTGCTCCCATCCACTACCATTGAGGCTTGCAGCTCTGAGCAGCACCAGTACTTCGTGGGTAGGGACGGGGACCTGGAATGGGGCAGCCTTCATGTCATGCATGGGTCTCATGCCCTCCCCTGGGAAACCTCGGCTCTGTCACTCACCCTAAGGAAGGAAATCAGTCTTGGACATGAGCTCCCTCCCTGCCATGCTCCAGCCCCCAGGTTAAGTGCGGTGCCCAGGGTCACCCAGGGAGCTGTGGTAGAGGCAGCACCGAGCTAGTCCAGACCTTGTCCAGACAGCAGCCCCCTTCACTAAACCAGGGCTCCCAGAAGCAGCTCCATCCTGAGATTGAAGGAGCCAGGGCCCCCAGGCCAAAAGAGCTGTATGGGGTCCCGCAGCCAGACAACGCCAGGGTATTTATGCACGCAGAGGCCTCCTAACTCATGAGTTCAGCTCTGCCCCCAACTACACCCCCAGTGCAGAGGTGGGGCACAGATGCCCTTCTCCTGCCACAGCCTTGTCCCCAGGTGCTGGAGCTTGGACGTGCATGGTCGGGGCTGCCTGGGCTTCCAGGTTTCCTGGGCAGGCACTGAACACGGCTTATGGGCCTGCCCCCACCTCCCCAGCTGCAGGTGCCCCCCCCCCGTCTGCCCGCCCGCCTTATTAGCGGTTCGCGCCGTTCCACGGGCATTCAAGGCATTTGTCAAGCAGCGAGAGGCGAGATTTGTTTTTCTAGCCCTCGTTTTCGGTCTCCCTGCCTTTAAATTGCTCCTAAAGCAAACAGTTACCGGGCGCTGATGGATTGGGGGAATGCAGCTGTCACGGGCAAGCGATGACGTTTTCCATCACATTTTAATTGCATATTGAAGGAACAAAACGCTTCTCGGGCCGCCAGATTTATTTTTTCATTACCAGGCCGAGCCCGAGCTCGAGACGGGGAAAATCCATCGCTCCCGCAGTCGACAGGGAAACAACGAGACTTAATAAGGCGTCACGCTCGGCTCACCCCTCCAGCAGGATGCAGTGGGGGTGGGCAGGGGGGAAGTCAGAGCCAGGGACGGGGGATGCCCAACACCTTGCAGGCTTGAGCCCTGGGATGCCGGGCTTGCCTGAGATGACTGCTCCAAACGTGCCCAAGGCTGCACGTGCCAGAGGCTGCACACTCCTGCATGTTGCAGGGACAGCTGCAGGTCCTTGTCTGCCTCCGTGGGACTTCTCCTAGTTTGAAGCCTCCTCTCCAGGGCCAAGTCCCTCACCTGGGGTGTTCTGGCTGCCCTGGTCTTTACGGAGCCTTTTCCCAGGGTCTGTTCCCCTGGGGGCACCACACAGTGAAGGGCAAGACATGCTGAGCTGATCCTTGGCACTCACTAGGTTGTGCCCGGGCAGGACCCATGGCTGGGCCAGGACCAGGACCAGGCTCTGACCCAACACCTGCGCCGATGGCTAAAGGGGGCTCCCCAGTGGCCTCATCCGGAGGAAAGCAACCTTGACTCCTTAGACAAGGGAAGGTGTGGGGGGCAGAGCCCTACGAGAGCTCCCCCTGCGCCGCGGGTGGTCTCCGTTCTCATGGCCTCCCCTCCCAACAGAGAACGGGGAGTGGGTGATCAAGCACCGGCCGGCCAAGAAGCTGGTGAACGCGGGGCACTTCACCCCCGATGACGTGGGCTACCAGCAAGTCGTCTTCTACCTCATCATCCAGCGCAAGCCGCTCTTCTACATCATCAACATCATCGTGCCCTGCGTGCTCATCTCCTTCGTGGCTGTGCTCGTCTACTTTCTGCCTGCCAAGGGTAACGCTGGCACCAGGCGGCTGTGGGACCACCTGTGCCATAGGCGTGAAGGGGGCAGGCTGTGTGGCTGGGCAGAGGGAGGAAGTGGGGGACAGCCACCGCTGGGAGACTGGCACCTGGGCCCACTGCCCATCATTTCCCCATCGCATGGGCTTGGGGACATGGAAGCCAGTCCTGTGGGAGCAGACACTCCTGGCTGCCGTGTCAGTCCCTAGGGCTGGCTGGACTCTCTCTGCACAGCCTCCCACTGCCAGTCCCAGGACCATCGGTGTCCTAGGCATGCCTAGGCAGAGTTAGGCCCTTTCCAGGTGCCCTGGGACCCCGTCTCATGTGTCAATCCCCTCACTCTCCACATCCTGGCAGCGGGTGGGCAGAAGTGCACTGTCTCCATCAACGTCCTCCTGGCCCAGACCGTCTTCCTCTTCCTGATTGCTCAGAAAGTCCCTGAGACCTCCCAGGCAGTGCCGCTCATTGGGAAGTAAGTGCCTCCTCCCCTAGACCTGAGGCGTGGGGCAGGGCCCTGCCGAGCTGCCAGGCGGTCCTTGCTCCAGCCCAGGCTCCTGGCTGTAGCAAAGGGGGCAGAAGAAACAGTGCCCCAAAGGCTGATGGCTGGTAGATAGCACGGCCCTGCTCCCAGGGGAAGGGCTGGACACAGCATGGGGGGATTGTGGATGGGCTGGGGGCCCATCACCCTCTGTGTCAGGCATAGCAGGAAGGTAAGCGGGTCTTAGAGGCCAGGGGCTCCCTGGCCAGGCAGCTCCTAATCCTTCTGCATCTTTATGGCTCAAAGAAGGGGTAGATGAGCAGCCTCTCCATCCCACTTAGCCCCCGCTGCTCTCTTGCCTCTTGGGCTGAGATAGCTGCGGCAAGCAAGGGGTCCGGGTACCAGCTTCCAAGATGTCCCCGCTCCATTCCCAGGTACTTGACGTTTCTCATGGCGGTGACGGTCATCATTGTGGCCAACGCAGTCATCGTGCTCAATGTCTCTCTGAGAACCCCCAACACTCACTCTATGTCCGCGAAGGTCCGCCAGGTAGGAGGGGCAGGGCAGAGCGGGACATCCTTGCCTGGCAGCGGTGGTGCATTTACCTTCGGCACAGGGCTGTGGTGCATTTACCATGGAAATACCAGCCCCAGCACGTGCTTTGAAAGGCACGTGGGAACCAAGACACTCTGCACCCCTAAGTGGCACTTGCCCTCCCTTCGGGGGTGCAGCTGGGTAGAAGTGGCAGGGGAGGTTACAGTCATGGGCCTGATCCTGCTCTCATGAGCACCAGTAGGAGCCCCAGGCCTGGCCCGTTGCCCCAGGCTTGGCATGGGCATGACGCTGCTGGTCCCCACTGCGCCCCCAGCTCTTCCTGCGGCAGCTGCCGCGGCTCCTGCGGATGCACATGCGGCGGGATGAGGCGGGGGATGCTCCCCCCGTGACGCGGCGCCGGAGCTCGCTGGGGCTGATCGTGAAGGCGGACGAGTACGTGCTGTGGAAGGCCCGGACCGAGCTCCTCTTCGAGAAGCAGAAGGAGAGAGATGGGCTGATGAAGGCCGTCCTGGAGAAGATCGGTGAGCACACCTGGGCCAGGTGCCTAGGTCATACGAGCCCATCCAAAGCACATGATCCTGTCCCAGCAGCAGAGAGGGGCTCCCTGCAACCACCCAGGACCTGCTCAGGGAAGGTGCAGAGTCCAGGGCTCACAGGCCTCTCCCCAGCCCCACGGTCCCTGTTCACATCTGCAGCCATCCCCACACAGGGGGAAGGGGGTCTTCCCCCTCCCCTATCCCAGTGTCACCATGCAGGAGCCGGAGAACCATGGATGCAAAACCAGATTCAGGCCCTAGTTCACTTCCATGTTTCCCCCCTTTTTTACGATGTGTAATTGGCCAGCTCCAGGCACATGGTTCCAGATTGGATCGACACTTCTGTGGATGTGAGAGGATCCCAGTCCAGAATGGGAGGTTTTCCCAGCAGGGATGTCCCCGCTGGGTCAGGGCTAGGCCCATCTGGACCTCAGGGCAGTGCCCAGCTCAGCCCCCAACCATCACTTTGCTAAGGGCCAAGCACATCAGGCTGAGGCTTTCCCATGCCTCCTGCCACCTGGAGCTGCCCCCTCTCCTCCTCTTCCTCATTTCCAGGGAGAGGGCTGGAGAGTGGCTGCACCCAAGATCTCTGCAGCAGCCTGGTGCAGGCCAGTCCTGAGATCCGGGCCTGCGTGGATGCCTGCAACCACATCGCCAAGACCATCCAGGAGCAGAACGAGTTTGACAGCGTGAGTCTGTCCCCAGGAAGGGGAGGCTCCTGCGGGCCGAGGGGGCATGTCGGGGGACCCCAGCAGGGCTCTGCATGCATCAGAGTCCAAAACAAGCAGGAGTGGGGGGGAGAGAAGCAGGGAAGGGGCTCTGGCAGCGAAAGGGGACAGCAGTCTCATGGGGTCTGCTTACACTGCAGCAGCCATCTCCGCCAAGGCGTCCCCAAGCCCAACCCAGGCACTCCTGCTCCCAACCAGAGTGCGAGTACTTGTGAGCAGAGGAGAGCAGCCTTGGTGCTGCCTTTCCCAGTCTGGGGCATGGGGAAAGGCAGTCCGGGCTGTCCTGCATAGGACGTGCTGATGCAGATATAGCTGTGACTCCAAAAAGGGTTGGAGAGCAAAGCACATGGAGGGCAGGGGCTCAGTCTGGAGAGGAGAAGAGGGGTGCGACAGCACTTGTTAGGATGTAGGAAGAGAAACACTGCTCTCTCCTCTGTACAGGGCAGGACCCATGTCCAGGGGCTTAAACTACAGCATGAGACTTGGATCAAACGTCAGGGAACCTGCTGGGCAGCAGGGCATTGGCATCAGCTGCCCATGCAGGAAGGGTCGGGAACAGCTGGGCCTGAAAGGGTTCAGGGGGTTGAGTTGGGGTCCTTGGGCTGGCAGGGAGCTGTGGGGGCTTTCAGGTTAAGCAAGGTCCTCATCCAGGATGCCCAGGCCAGGGGGAGCATTTGCCCACAGCAGACCTGGACCTGGACCTTCTCCGGGTACCTTTCGCTGCAGGAGAATGAAGAGTGGATCCTGGTGGGGAGGGTGATCGACCGCGTCTGCTTCCTGGTCATGGCTTCCCTCTTCGCGTGCAGCACCATCGGCATCTTCCTGATGGCCCATTTCAATCAGGCTCCTGCACAGCCCTTCCCGGGGGACCCCAAGAAATACCTGCCGGAGTGATCCCAGGACAGATGCTGCTGGGACTCGCACTGGCTGCAAGAGGCCAAACCCTCCCTCCCAGGCAGGAAGCCCCTGGCTGCACCATTGTCGCTCCAGGGTCTCTTCATCTGAGGGCTTCTGGTCCACATTGGGTTTGCTGCTGCCATCCCACCCTGCTGAGATACCTCCAGGGTGTAGATGACCAGACCCAGCAGCCAGGCCTGCTCTTGGGAGCCACAGACAGGGGCAGTGTCATTGCAGCCAGAGGGAGATGGCAACTGGTTTGGAGGAGCCAGCCAGAGCCTCCAGCTGCCATCCCTGGCTCCCACATGCCTGAGCAAAGGACACTGAACCGAAGGGCCTTGTGGCGGGTGGGAGGGCTGCTGGGCCCTGAATGCCTATGTCTTGGGGAACGGGCTAGTGCCATCCCAGCTGGGGAGAGGACAGGGCACGGCAGGCGGCCATGCGAGCTCACTCAGGGTGACGAGGCATGCGAGTAAACCCCGTGCAGCTCTCACGCCTTCTGTACTGTTTTTCTGGCAGCAGGGGGGAGTGCACGAGGGACAGAAAATGGGGCGAGAAGAGCAGGCACCTGTTAGGACTTCAGGCCCCAAGCATCAGAACATGGGGTGTAATTGCTGCTCAGAAGAGCTGCTTGCAGATCTCTTCCCTCTGCCCAGAGCTAGGGAGAGACCTGGCATCAGTCCCTGCTGCAGAGCCCATGGGCTCAGCCCTAGGCAGACTCCAGCTACTGCTAACGGGGCACCGCTGGTGCCCACAGAGTTCACCTGCAACCCTTCCAAATGGCAGCCCACAACCTGGTGCTCCATCCCCAGCAGAGCTCCCAGCTGCCCATGCTAGTGCCAGTCAGACCCTCCATGCACCGCATCTGCAGGCCCCCCCTGGGGACTTCACGCTCAGGCCCCAGCGTGCACTGGCTGCTGTGCACACTTTGGGACCACATACATGAGGCCACCGGCACCAACTCCATCAATCCCCAGCAATGGCTGCACTGAGCCGACTCAGATCATCCTTCCCAAGCCATCCCCACTACCCAGGCACCAGCCGACGCTGTGGTCATACCCAAGCCTGCTCTGCTTCATCCCAGACCCAGTGGCCAAGACTCTGCTCCCCTCCTGTTGCTACACGCACATATATGCACATGCACAGGGTGATGGAAAGACGAGCATGGCACGAGCCTGGGTGGTCACAGCTTTCCTGTTCCCCCTGCTACAACCACCTCATCCCTGGAGTGAGGCCACGCTTGTTGGCAAAGCCAGGAGCCTCTGCCCACGGCTCCCTTTGCCAAGCTGCCAGGAGCGCCCAGCCGCCTGGGGCGAGGCTGCGCCGGGGCGGCTGGAATAGCAGCAGAGGGATTGAGATAAAGCCCTGCTCTAATCCCCATTGATCCAAGAGGCGGAGACGGGCTCCGGCTGCGCCTCGGCTCCTAGGAAGGAATGCGGGGGCCATGCTCACAGCTGCCGCAGGGGCAGAGCAAGGGGAGCGGGAGGGGGCTGGGCTGTACTGCCCTGCCCTTTGCAGCCTGCATAGATGATGTGCCCCAAGGGGGTTACAGCCCAGTGCAGAGACAGGAGGAGGGGAGATGCTGCGGGGCACAAGCCCTCCCTTCCCCTCTCCAATCCGCTGCCTCTGGATCCCAAAAGCAAACGCTCGACCCCTGCCCCAGCCCCTGCCATGGCAACCGCCGCGCACAGGGCTGGAATCAGCTGCACAAATACCCCAGAGGGGCCGGCAGGCAGGAACTGCCCGGCCCAGCTGCTGTTTGATTCACCTCCAGCCCCGCTGCCCAGCCTCAGGCCAGACCCGCAGAGGAGGGGGCAGCTGGACTGCCAGCAAAGCCAGGCCAGATCCTGAGCAGTTACTATGGTGAGGGGGTGATGGAGCCATTGGGACTTAGTCCTCGGGCTTGAACCGATCCAGATCAGCTGTCAGGGCCTCTGGCACCTGTCTGTGGTACTTTGACTGGTCACCCTGCCAGCAACATGACCGCTGAGCTCTGGGCTGGGTGATGCCGGACGGGGAAGGGGCTGATGGGCCACAAAAGGGCCATCGGCACAGCATAGCTGCACCGTGCCCTAGCCAGTCACGCTGCACAGTAGCTAGCAGCCACCTCTGCCCAGGGCTCCCCCCTGCTACCCCCTAGATCAGCTCCGTCCACCTCACAGGACTGCGCCTGCCTCTGGGAGCTCTTCCCGTCTGATCTGCCCTCTCGGGGGAACAGCTTGCCCTTGCATTCCCCCAGCACCATTGTCTTGAGATCCGGGTGGTTGGGATGGAAACGTGGGGACGGGGAGGGGAGTGAGGCTGGGAGGGGATGCTGGAGACGGCTGCAGGCAGAGCAGAGAGCCAGTGCTGGGGCTTGCTCAGTTTGCAGCTGTGCAGGGGCAGCTTGGCACATCAGCCCCCGCATCCCTTCCTGCTTGGGCAGGAGGCACGGCAGGAGTCGGTCTGCCCGCTTACACGGATGTCGGCGCTCTGCTCCCAGCCTTCCCCCTTTGGGCATCTGACACGAGAGAGACACATTGAAGTACTTGCCCAGCCCCGGGGGCGCAAGTCAGGCTCTGGGGAGCTCTGGGATGGGAGGACGACCTCGGCTACTGGGACTCGAGACCCCAAGAGGAGCCTGGAGCCAGCTCAGCACGGCCTGCCCCGTGCCGAGGGTCCCAGCCAGGGCCAAGAGAGGCAGATCTATGCTGGAGGACAGACAGGCTCAGAGTCCCCCCTGCCCGCATCGGGCTGGAGGCTGAGCCCAGTCCAGAGCCTGAGGCTGGTGGAAGAGGAGGATGGTGGCGAGGCATTCCCGGAGCTGCAGCTGCTGGCAGGTGTCACCCAGCTGCATGTCACCGCTCAGGCTGGGCAGCATGGTAAGGCCCTGCTGGTGCCCCATTGCCCGCTCCCCTGGAGGGAGGCAGTGCTGGGAGGCAGCGGTGCCACCTCCTGCTTCCTAAAGCCAGGGCATGAGGGTGTGGGGGTGTCTTGGGTGCTGGCAAAGGAGGACAGAGCCTTTCACCTCATGGTGGCCCTCAGCCACCTCTGGTGTGACTGGATTGAGGCCCCCACATTAGCACTTGGGGGTTCAGGCAGCACCAACCAGGCTCATCGGCAGCTGAGGAGGGTGGTGCACTCACAGCCGAGGTCTAATCGGTGACAGCTGGGGGGACCTTCCCTTGCCTGGGCATTCAGGGTTTCCTGCTGCCCCCATCTATCCCCGTCTGGTGCAGTTGGCAGCCCCTTTCCCAGGGCAGGCATGAGCTGTGCAGGGCAGGCTGGCCCCACACAGAGTCTTGCAAGTGGATGCCCAAGGAAACCCCCAGCCCACCTGGCATCCTTGGATCTGGTCCCCTGCTCTGTCTCTGGGGTTTTGCATTCAGGACTTCCTCCAACGCTGCTCCGCAGAGGTCACTGGGCTCAGCAGGGCCAAGCCCCCAGATCAGGCAGCGGAGCAAAGTGGGCAACAGCAAGAAAGACCAGCAAGCCACAGGTGGGACAGCAGGGCCTGGGGGGTCCCCACAGGGCTGTGTTTTGGACAGGTGGAGAACAGCATATGGTCACATCGCCTGCTCCGAGCAGCAATAGTGAGACCGAGTACAAGATGCCCCGGGCAGGCACCGCTGCGGGGAATCCCTCAGGAGCAGGGCAGCCCATAGGGGTACGGACCAGCAAAGCCCCCCGGCCAACAGAACCAGGCCCCTGCAAGATGCGTACCCAAAGAGTCCATAAGGCTGTGCAGCCTGGCCCCTCTGCCCCCAAGCTTATCGCACACGGGATAGGTAGCATGAAGCAGCCGACAGAGCATCACGGGACAGGAGCAGGAGAGATGGTGTCACGGAGCCAGGCCTTGCCACAGCAGGGAGTGGGCTACTGAAGGGTGCCCCGAGACTCCCAGATCCCTGCCCCATGCTACGGAGGAAGGCCTAGGTCCTCAACAGCCCAGCTGGCTGGGCACAGCATGCAGACCTGCAGCTCTCGAACGCCCACCCCAGTCCCCACGCCCTGGGCTATGCCCTCCCCTTCCCCCTGTGCACCCACCCCCAGATGGGCGCCCCATGGCAGTGCCAGCTGAGCAGTCCAGTGGAGCACCCCAGCAGCTGGCACTGGCAGAGGGGGGATGCATGAGCACTGCAAGGCACCTGCCTGGCACAGATGGCATGGCTGGGACTTTTGCAGGGCTGCTCGGGGACCCGAGGAGATCCTACACCATAGGCTCAGCGCAGGTCAAGGAGCTGCTGGTGGCTACTGAAGGTAACTGGCTGCTATGGCA